GGAGTGACAAAAATTGAGACCCATATTTAAGGTGAGAGTTCCTGGCATTATCCCCCTCAAAAAACAACTATTCCAATGACATCGTCGCTCACTGTAGCTAGAAGCAATGTTTTGGACACACACTATGCCACTCCCCATCCCAGCCATCCTAGAGAGCAGTTCAGCCACATCATGGCTTCAGGAAGAAAGGGTGTCCTTGTAGTGGGTCTCAAGATGAAGCAAGCAATGTCCTTCTTAAAACTCTTTCCCAAATATGCACCATTTCAACACCCCTGAGTCCACAACTTGGTTTTCTGATTTGCAGAAAGGCAAGCTCTCAGGCCAGACTGTGCTCACCCTGATGAATCCAGGGCAGCTCTGGGTAGATATCCAGACCCTGACTTTTTATAGGCATATTTATTTTATTGAAGTTATCGAAGGTCAATTAGTGTGGACAGTAATTCTGGAATCATTACTCCAACGCCTCACTCAGGGACCAAGTCTGGATGAAATGGTATTAAAATCTTTTTTCTCCCTCTCCCCATTTCCTCCAACAATCTGCATGAACATAATTATGTAGAATGTAAATTAACTGTGTGAGTATTAAACAATAACATTCTTTCTGGTTGTTCATCCAAATCCTCTTTTTCCAGAATGCAAAGGGAGTTTGTTCTCTGGGACCCTTGCTATATCACTTATTTAGAACTCCACACATTCAGCATCAATATGTAGCCATTTTATACAGTTGGGTCTACAAAGAAATTTGGTATAGCTAATGATATTGAGATGACAGATCGGCCAAAGACCAATAGTGGTTTCTCCTCCAGTTTTTTCCTAGTATGATGTGCTAAATGAAGGCAAATTCTTTCAGTACATAGTATACCAGTATAGTGAATGAATGGGTCGAGAGCATGAGCTTTGGGGTTAAGAAGGTCAAATTCAGACTTTGCTACTGAGATCGTATAACTGTAGGCAAGTTACAAAATTCCTCTGAGTCTAGGTTTTCCCCACCTAACTGGGTTGCTGAAGAGAATAAATAAGGTAATGCTGATGAGGTGTGTGGCACTGGGATTGGCTCAGAGCATGCCATTAATGTAACAAGAACGCCAGTTAGCATGCAGAATGTGCTGCTGTGTCTCCAGCTACCTAACTGTACCCTCTGGATGCTTCTGCAGCATGAGGGATACAGACAGCAGCTTTATCACACCATCACTGGGGGAACTACAGGCCAGGAGGAAAAGTGAGATGCTCCAAGGCTACACTGCTTCTTAAAGATAGAGCAGGGCCAGAATCCAGGGGCTCTATTCTGTCTCTAATGCTCTTAACACCTTGCTATGTTTCATAAGCTCAAAGTCTGATACAGCACATGTATGAGTCAAATAGAATAACACACTTAGAGAGAGCATATAAATTATCAATACAACGGTGGGCCCATGAGGTTCTAGAGCTAACTAACCTACTAGCTAACTCTTTCCCTATTAGTCCTTTGTTAGAATTTTATTGTGTACTTGCTGAGTCCAAATACCATGTATGGTGCTCTGCCCTTTATATAAGTGATTGGTTAAGATGGTGGAGCAGGTAAAGGCTGTGCTCACCACCTCTCACAACCACATCAAAATTACAAGCCAATTATAGAACAGCCATCATTCAGAACTCCCTGAAGTTCTACAACTGAGGATATACAGAAGATGCCACATCAAGACAGGTAGGAGAGGCTGGTCTCATACTCACATGTGGCAGATAAGAATTGGGAGGGATATCTCAGCTGTAGAGGTCCTTCCTGAGTAGTGAGGGGTCCCAGGCATTCCTCTTAAAGGGCACACACATGGACTTACTTGCCATTGGTCTCACTCAGTCTGAGCTCCAGAACTGGGGCAACCGCTTGAAAGGTGCCAGGGACATATGAGGAGGAACTAAATTGTCTGGTTTCAGGCCGAGGACTGGAAGAGCAGTTTTCTCTCAGACATTATAAGTGCTCGTAGAGGCCATTGTTCCTTTGTTGATCCCTCTCCCCACCCAGCCTGCACACACAGGTGGGCACCATATCTGAGTCTCTATCAACCTAGCTAAAACTATTTGCCCCGCCCTGGTGACTCCCTGAGACCCTCCCCCACCCAACTTGCAGGCCCACCCAAGCTGCTTCCAGTAGCTTTTCCATACAAGCAGTTTTGGCTCATGCTGTGGACTTTCCTAAAATCTCTTAGTTTCACAAACCTCAAACAAGCAACATCTGGTCTCAGCATGCCCCCCACCTCTTGCTAAACAGCCCCAAGCCTAACACTAGCAACAGTCAGCCTCAGTTCACTTGCTCAGGCTTTCCAGGCACCTATAAGCCCAGGACAAGTGGCAACCATCTGCAGGTAACTTTATGGCTTATACCAAGTGGCCCTGAGCAGGGCACAGGCAGCAACTGACTGTGGCCTACACCAGAGCCCCTCCCAAGAGGCCCCAGAACCAACACAGAGTGGCCAGATTTAAACAATCATCCTGAGCAATCAGCCAATGTCAATCAAGCATAAATTACAACAGGAAGGCACACATGCCCACACAAGGGACACATGTGGAACACCCAGCTCAGGTGACCAGGGAGACTGTGTCCCCGGGCTCCACAAGACATCTACTACATAAAGCTACTCTACCAAGAACAGTTGATGTAATAGCTCTACCTAATACATAGAAACAAACACAGGGAGACAGTCAACATGAGGAGACACAGAAACATGTCCTAAATGAAAGAACAGAACAAAACTCCAGGAAAAAACCTAAACAAAATAAAGACAAGCTATCTACGAGATGCAGAGTTTAAAACACTGGTCTGGTTATAAGGCTGCTCAATGATCTAGTGAGAACTTCAACCTCAGGGAGACAGGAAACATAAAGTGGGAGATAGAAAATATAAAAAGAACCAGTCAGAAAAGAATAATACAGTAACTGAAATGGAGAATACATTTAAGGAAATCAACACTAGATTAGATGAAGCAGAGGATAGAATCAGCAATTTGGAAGGTAAGGTAGCAGAAAATTCCAATCAGAATGGCAAAAACGAAATGATAAAAAAAAAGATGAGGATGTCCCACCTGGTGTGGCTCAGTGGTTGCGCATCGACCCATGCACCAAGAGTCACCAGTTCAATTCCCAGTCACGGCACATGCCCAGGTTACAGGCGTGATCCCCAGTAGGAGGCATGTGGGAGGCAACGGATCACTGTTTCTGTCTCATCTATGTTTCTATCTTTCTCTCCCTTCCTCTCTAAAATCAATAAAAACATATTTAAAAAACGATGAGGATGGTTTAAGGGGCCTCTGGGACAACATCAATTGTTCCAACATTTGCATCCTAGGGGTTCTAGAAGAAGAAGAGAGAGAGCAAGGAACTGTAAACCCATTTGACGAAATAATGATGAAAATGTTCCTTAATATGATGAAGAAAATAGACATATAAGCCCAGGAAGCACAGAGTCCCAAACAAGATGCGTTGAAAGTCCCACACCAAGACACACCATAATTAAAATGCCAAAGGTTAAAGACAAAGAGAATCTTAAAAGCAGCAAGAGAAAAGCAGTTAGTTACCTACAAGGGGCTCCCAACAGAAACTTTGCAGGCCAGAAGGACTGGCACAAAATATTCAAACTGATGAAAGCAAGGACCTACATACAACCAAGGTTACTCCAAACCAAAACTGTCATTTAGAATCGAAGGACAGGTAAAGAGCTTCCCAGACGAGAGGCAGCTAAAGGAGCTCATCAACCCCCAAACTTGTATCATGGGAAATGTTGAGGGGTCTCTTTAAGAAGAAGAAGAAAGATTACAAATATGAACAATAAAATGACAATAACTATATAGCTATAAATAGTCACTTTAAATATAAAGATTAAATGCTCCAACCAAAAAGCATAGGGTGGCTGAATGGATAAGAAAACAAGACCCTCACGTATGCTGCCTACAAGAGTCTCACTCAGATTGAAAGACATGCACAGACTGAAAGTAAATAAATTTAAAACGACATTTCATGCAAATGGAAAAACAAAAAAAGCTGGGATAGAAAAACTTATACCAGACAAAATAAACTTTAAAATAAAGGGTATAACAAGAGACAAGAAGGACCCAGCAATTTCTCTTCCAGGTATCATATCCAAAGAAACCCGTAACACCAATTCAAAAGCATAGGTGCATCCCTATGTTCACCGCAGCTTTATTTACAATAGCCAAGATATGGGAGCAACCTAAGCGTCCATCACAAATGAATGGAGAAAGAAGTGGTGCCTACATACAATGCAATGTAACTCTTCCGTAAAAAAAGAATGAAATCTTGCCATCTGCAACAACATGGATTGGATCTACAGTGTATTATGCTGAGTGAAATAAATCAGACAAGGGCAAATGCCCTAATATTTCACTGATATATGGAATCTAAAAACAAAATAAATGAGCAAACTAAGCAGAAACAAAGTCATAGATACAAGGAAACTTTTGGTGGTTGCTAGATCAGAGGGAGGTTTGGGGGAATGGGTTTGAAAAAGGAGAAAGAGTTAAGAAGTGCAAATTAATAGTTACAAAATAGCCATGGGGATGTAAAGTACAGCACAGGGAATATAGTAAAAAATATTGTAATAACTATGTATTTTGTCAGATGGGTAATAGATTTATTGGGTGATCACTTTGTAAGTTATATAAATGCCTAATTAGTATGTTGTACACTTGCAACTAATATAATATTGTATGTCAACTGTAATTGAAAAATAAAAAGTGATTTAAAAATAAAATATAATAAATTTTTTTTTAAAAAATAAAAAGGTAAATGATCTTATTTCATCCTCAGAGCAACATATGAAATGAGTCAATTTTACAGAAAAAGAAACGGAGACTCTGGTAGGTTATACATGTTGTTTTAGACAACTAACTCAATTTCAAAGTGCTTATCCTTAAATTGCTCTATTTAATTTTCTATGACACCTATAGAGATGGAAGACCGACCCGTCCACACCAATTAAGACACAAGGCAAGATAAGGGGAAGGACTCACAGCATGACGTGTAATTCCTCCAGCCAGTCACTGCAATCCCCTGAGTCTGGCAGGTGCTGGCGTAGTTCTGTAGCCAGCTGCAGGCAGTCTGCACCGCGCCCCCATCAATGCAAGAGTCAAACAGGCAGTTCTTGTAAAAGAAGGTGGGATTGACTTTGCTGTGACACTTGGTGAAGCCAGCGTTCTGGTTGGGAATTAGGCTGCACAGCTGCTGAACCTTTGAGAAACCTTCCACCTTGGCACAGGAAGGGCAGCGGTCCCCACAGCCCACCTGGCAGAAGGTGTCCCTCTTCACCCAGCTCTGCCCAAACTCATTGACGCTGGATGCAAGCAGACCCATAGGCATCTCCAGGTCATCGTCAGGGTTGCCGTTATAGCGGCCACACAAGCCGTAGGTGCTGTTCTGCATGTTTCGTGGGACTGTGATTGACAGGAAAGTCTTCCAGTCATACACAACCTTCAGGCCAAAATCAGTTTCCACCACCACATGGAAGCCAAAGGAAAAGATATTTATCTTCCCTTGTCCCAATTTCAGAGGTAGATACAGCCGTTCATTGTTGACCTGCAAGAGAAAGAAGTTGAAGTAGAGAAATTCCAGAGATCTTCCAGCTCTTCTCCTAATGATTAGTCTTAAGAGAGATCGTCACAAAGGGTGATTTGAGCAGGTTGAATACAATCTTTGCATTTAGTGTTGTTTACGTCAGTCAACTATTATTATTAGGATCTGAACAGGCTTAAATTACTATCCTTTGTATACTAATATACCGATTTATTTCCGACACCTCTGTTTACATAGCATTCTTTCCCCTAGAAGTTCAAATTGTTTCCTCCAACATAATGATAGAGTAATAAGAATTCAATTAAAGTTCATACTAAAACACCCAAACCTGGAATGCCTGTGTTTCTATTTCTAGCTCTATTGTGGAATTATTTTAGGCAAGCCCCAACTTATTAATTCCTTTGGGATATGTTGTTGTTGTTGTTGTTTTGTTGTTGATGTTATTTCCCCTGAAGAATGACTTCATTTGCTGGTCCTTCTTTACCCAGCAACATCCCTCTCACCCTCCAGACCATGCTCAAATATCCTATCTTCTATTAAGCAAGATGATCTGAGCCCATGGTCAGAATTAATCCCTCCTTTATCTGGGCAATGAGAACATGTTGTTTATCTCTTGTAATCTTCTCCACCTTCAACCAAGATCAAGCATTGCACACTGTTACTGAGGCACATATCACAACCTGCCTCATAGTATGGTTGGTTGTCTGCATTTCTAGCTCACCTACAAGATTATGAGCAACTTGAGGGCAGGGCCCATACTTTGTTGATCTTTATGTCCACTCCCTCCTGGCTACCTGTGCGTCAGCACAATGCCGTACACAGACAGGGCACCTGACACGTTTCCTCCCATACACTTTTAAATTCAGAAAACAAGGAAATCCCTTAATGCAAAACTCCAGAACTGTACTCCCCTTGAACTATTTGATTCAGATGAGACAAACTGTATAACTCCTGGCTAGGTGAGTGTGTGATGGAAACAGAGATGGCTTTAAGGGCTAAGAGGAGAGTTGGTCTTCCCAGTGAGAGAAGTAGGTACTGCTCCTATGGGGTGTTCTGAGAGTGCTCTATGACCACAAATACCTTCCCTCCTGACTGCTTAATCTCTCTCTTATCTGACACCCCTCCCTCATCTCCACTGCACTACTTTAGTTCAGACTCTCACCACCTTTCACCTTGATTATTGAATGCTCTCCTAATGGTCTCCCTGCTCTGGTGTTGCTCCTGTCCTCCATTCACTCACTAATGTCACTCCAATATTTCCTAATGCAATTGAAAGCAGTTAATCCAACACGTGAAACCCTCTCTGTGACCTGAATGAAACATTTGATATGCTGAGCACATCCCACAGGTTTCTAGAGCTGGCATCTGTCTTTTAGGGCTCCCCTACTTCCTCTGCCACTCCAGCAATATCTAGCACTTTGCAGTTCCCCTCATGGCCCAAGCTGCATCCTTCCACCCACCATTTCCTTTGCTGCAAGAGTGGTGGTGCTTCCTGTGCCTGCCTGGGACCTCCATCCTCAGCCACTGTGAATAAAGGCTAAAGGTAACTCAGCTGGCCGTGGCTCCATGGCAGTCACTTGACCCAGGAGGTTATGACCCCCCCACACACAATGCAGCCACACCTCCCCACCCTAAGGGCATTGACTGACCAACATAGGGGACCACCTTTGTGTGCAGGTCATGTGTCAGAGCTCCTGGGGCCCAGGTAGAAGCTGGGTTCCGGCTCAGATCACATCCTTGCTGAACTCTCTTCCCCTGGTGCCTCCCTCACTTTCCCAAGATTGCCCACCTCAGACTCTGCCCCTAAGCAACCTGCCTCAAGAAAGCAATGATGTACTTCCCCCTCTTTACGGGGCACTATTCGCCCTTCAAATTTCAACAACTCTCTCATCTTCTACAAATATTTTTCTTGGCAAAATTCATTCACCCATTCAGTAGGCATCAATTTGGCACTACTATGCACCAGGCACTGCACTAAATGCTAGACTAAAGCACAGGGCCCTTTTCCTAGTAGCTCACAGGCATATGGAGAGGCAAGTACATAAAGAGATAATACTAACACCATCTGATCAAAGCTGCAATAGAGATAAATAGATTTTACTTATAGGCACCAAACTCAGCCTGGGGACAGAATGAGGGATGCCTGCAGAAGATGTGCCCACACCTGATTCTAATAGATGAGTAGATACTGGCCAGTCAAGGAGGAATAAAAGCAGAGGAAAGAGAATCCCAAGAAAAGGCAAGAAGGCAGAGAAATGAATATGAAGAATTGCAGCAATTTAGTGCTACTGGAGCATAAAATGTGACCTTGGGAGTGGTGGGAGATGGAGATGGAGAAGTAGAGAGAGCTTGGATTGTGGGGGCCTCGTATGCAATGTCACAAATGTCAGAGAGGCTCAGGAGTTAAAGCCTGAAAAAGACTCATTCATTTCTCAAAAAAGGAGTCATCAGTGACCTTAATAAGAGAAATTCAGTAGAATAATGACGCCAGAGTCAGACTGCAGAAGTTAAACAGCAAATAGGATATATGGAAGCAGACATGTCCCTTGCCAGGAGTCTGGACAGAAAGGGGAGAAGAGACTGGATAGAAGCTAGTATAAAATGGGGGGCAAGGTGTGTTTAGAATGAGCATGTTTGCAGGTTAGAGACACAGTAGGGAGAGGGGAAGACAGATGGGCAAGGTGCCTGGGAGGGAGGAGGTGAAGACGCTGCAATGGGTCTTCAATGACAGGGTACAGGGGGTGGGAGGAGGGAGGGAGTACCCGGTGAGCACAACTTTCCCAGTGGGAGGTCTGGAGACTGAGTGACTTAGGCTGTGTGTAAACACAGAACAGAAATGTGGAAGGTCACTGAGTGAAGCGTGGGCCATGAAGACTCACACCAATACACTAAAAGCTCTGCATCCAAAGGCTCCCAGGTGCCAGCTTGCTTCTCCTCCTGTTTTCTTTTCTATATTCTTGGCTACAGGGTGTCAAGCAGGAGGCAACACCTTGGGAATAAAATATAACAGAATTAATGCTAAGGGCTTATAGATTCTGTCACTGTCCAGGAGAACCCTGAGGAAGCAACACACTCTGAAGCCCAGAAATGCCACCTCCATCCTGATATCACTGCCCTGTCTATGAGTGAGACATGGAGAGAAAGAAGGAGCAGAGGGAGAGGAGGCAGAGAAAGGGAGAGGTTGGCACAGAAGCAGAGCCTGGTGGATGGAGGAGGAAGGTGCAGAGGAGGAAGAGAAGAGGGCATGAGGATGAGTGTGGGGAAATGTATTTCAAATATTTAAATGTTGGAAATAAGACCACACATTAGATTTTTATTGGAGAACTTTCCTTTAAACAACTGGCTCTGATAGCTTCTACAGCCTGTTCAGCCACCTGAAGTCCTGTCATACCTCACACTTGGCTCCATCTCCAGGTCTTCATTGATGCTTCCTTTTCCTAAGGCCCTTACACCATCCTTGACCTGGCTAACATGCTCCTTCAGGGCTCAGTTCTGGGTCATCTTTACCAGAAAGCACCCCACAAAGCCACTGCTGGCTTAGGCAACCCATCTTTTGTGCTCCCATGACCCTCCACCTTTGTAGCACATCACATGACACCCACATTCCCTGAGAACACATCTGTCTCTCCCACTAGACCCTGAATTATCTTAGGACAAAAGTCATGTTTAATTCATTGTTTTTTTTACCAGCAGAACTTGGCACAGAACAGGCATAAATATAAGATCATTAAACTAATTAGAGCTAGAGTGAGGCTCAAAACCTCACTCTTCTCTGATGGCTACAGGTTTGGCAGTCAGTGATAAAGACACCAGCTGTGAGGGTCCTCACAATCTTCCCTTTGGCTGGACCATGACAGACCCAGCTGAGAGGACACCTTTACTGAACTCAGGCTGTGGACAGCTGAGACGTGTGCTGCCTCAGCGTCCTGGAGTGGCTCACCCTGGTGCTCACCATTGTAACCATTTGGTATATGGACAGCATGTTTATTTCTAGTTTTTCTTGACTTAGTACATTTTCCCATGTCCTCCACTACTGTTTAATGCTGGGAAAGGTCAGAGTCATAAAGGGCCCCTGTGTCCCAAAGAATCACTTCTATATCACCTCCATTTCTAACAGCACAGGCAATGACCCAGGGCTTGGCACTATTCTGCTTGGCACTTCACTGCACACTGTCCTTAGGATGGGCATTATTCCACTCTTAGGGAGAGATGGTGACTAAAAATAATATCATGGGGAAACAAGTGGAAATCGTTAAACAAGCAGATCCTGCAGAGCATATTAGTAATTCAAAGTAAATACTAAATCTATCCCCCAGGCCCCAAAAGAAAAAAAACTTCAGTGTGTCTTGAACTTGGTTTTCTTGTCACAGATTTGAAAGCTATAAACTCTGTTCCCAGCTTAGACACCGAGGACACCTGGGTGACTTAGAAACTTGAGCTCTGGTAAGGAGTCCCCTCTACCCATTTAACCGATTCCTCCCTGATGCTCCTTATTCTGGAATTATCCCTTGTAGTGGATTAAATCATGTCCCCCAAAGATATGTTGAACTCTTAATCCCTAGTAACTGTAAATGTGCCCTTATTTGAAACGAGGATCTTTGCAGATGCAATCAAGTTGCGATGAGATCATATTAGATTAGGGTGGGCTTTAAAACCAATGACTAGTGTCCTCAAAAAAGGAGAGAGAGATTTTTCACAGGGAAACAGAAGACACAGAGAGAAAAAGGCCAAATAAAGACAGAGGCCAGAGACTGGAGTTATGTTGCCACAAGCCCAGGATTTCCTACAACCAGCGGATGTTAGGGAAAAGGCCTGGCGCAGACTTTTCTGTAAGAGGAAGCATGGGCCTACTAACATTGATTTTGTACTCCTAGCCTCCAGAACTGGAAGAGAATACGTTCCTGTTGTTTTAAGCCACCTAGTCTGTGATGCATTGTGACGGAGCCCTGAGAAACTTAGACACCCTTCCCTTTCCATCTCTCTATGGGAGGAAGAATCCAAAG